CTGCCCACAGGGTCTCCAAGGCTGTCAGTCTTCACAGAAGCAAAGCCCAAACCACACCCACTGCCGTGGAGTCCATTCTGACCCACAGCGCCCCTGGAGGACAGGGTGGAACTGCCCCACAGGGTCTCCAAGGCTATATGTCACCTCACCTTTAGAGAAGAAGACTGCCACACCCTTCTCCCACAGAGCAGCGGTGGGACTGACCTTTTTTGGTCAGCTGCTCAATGCTGTAACCACTGCATCACCAAAATTCGTTGTCTTTCTGTTCCAGGGCCTCCAAATTCCTCAGTCACTCTCCCAAGTGATGGTCCCATCTCAGCCATTTCTGCCTACGTCACCCCTAGATCTTATCCTTACCCAGACCCCACCCACAGTCTCTGGTCCAGCCCAACTCTCTAGCATCCCAGCTCCCAGGAAAACTTCACTCCACCAAGACCTACAATCTGTTGACCCTCCTGCCTTCTCGCCGTCCCTCTCTGTCCAATGTCCTCCCGTCCCCCACTAACCCGAGAGTTCATAAATCATCACTCCATCATGCTCTCAGATATGTGTCCAACTCCCTTGCCCTGTTGCGATCTCCTGACATATCCACAGGCCTAAACGACCCAACTCTGCACATACTCCACACCTGTACACAAAACCCTAGCCCTCACTGTCCTAAGGGTGGATAGATGGGTAGACAGGCTGTACGGAGTACACAGGAATCAAACTGATTACATCTGTGGCAAGAGGTGATGGAAAACCTCAATGACTGAATGACCAGGTATATCTAGGGAGGCAGGAATGTGCCCATGACCATGTATAGGGTTGGCAGATGATGTTTCTACAAAAGTATTTGTATGTTCTGTAAGGATGTCCAGGTATATAGTACAGCTGACAAGGAACAAGGTTGTGGTGACTTCTTGGCCACAGCCAGCTACCCAGAGGGAAGGAGTAGTTGGACCTGTGGGCTCAGGACCATGGTTGCAGGGGACATCAAGTTCAACTGGTATAACATACTACACAAAAACACTGTTTCACATCCTACTTTAGTGAGTAGTGACTGGGATCCTAAAAGCTTGCAAGCAGCTATCTAGTTGCAATAAGGGGTCTCTCCTCATCCAAGGCAAGGAAGAATGATGAAAGCCAAAAATACATGGAAACAATTAGTCCAAGTGACTGGTACACCATATGATCCTCAGCCTATATGACCGTGAGACCAGAAGAACTAGATGGTGCCCAGCTACCACCATCAACCACTTGGAGGGAGATCTCTGTAGGAGATACTGGATAGAGTGGGAGAACAATGTGAAACAAACCTCAAAATCATT